CATGGATGTCCCCTCTCCTAATCTAGCTGTCTCCCTTTATAGCTCACTCTTTATACACATCCTCCCCTTTTATTATCTCTTTCCTCTCTTTGTTAATCTTCTATTTCTTCATCTTCCTTCCACTTTTCTCTGTCTTTCTTTCTCCCTTTCTTTCTTTCCCTGCCTTTATGTCTACAGTACCTTTATCTCCCTCTTTATTCATAATTCTCCCTTTGTCCTCGCTCACTCTCAAGTGTTTTACTAGCTGCTATCCTCTCTAATAATGTGTGTAGAGCGCATAAAACTTTTATTATAGGAAATAAAATATGGTTGTGGTGAAGATTGCCATAGAGGAGAGGAGCTGGAACATGATTGGAGCAGCAGGTGAGATGAATGGGTTGAAGCAAAGACATCTGCAGGGGCAGTAAACTGCGATAGTTTGTCATCGTCTAAAAGGTCTTCAAAGCTCCAGTCGATGACTGAAGCACAGTGCTCCAGGTTGCAACATGGTCAACCCACTGATGCATTTGTTAACACTGTGATTTATTAGATGGAAACATTTTTATTCACTTTGAAATTTGACTGTGATCTTAAAAAGCCATGTATCTGAATAGATATATGTTAAGGCTCTGAAGGCTTGCTTCACACCAGTAATATCTGTAAACCCTCAAGTTAAATAAGTACATTGAAGTGTGAAATTAGCTTAAACTCCTTTGAAGCACAGCTGAGGTGAGAAAGCTCAATATTTTGAAATCAACTAAATTAACTCATCTGTAATTCATGCAATCTAATTAAATTTGGGATTTCCATAGACTTTCCCCAGGCTTAGATGGTAAAGTTGATTCATTCCATCACATTTCTCACCCCATGAAACTGACTCACTGTGACTGTTGAAATGGTCTGTAACTCCCAGCACCCAGTAAATCAAATATGCTTTTTCCACAATAATACTTTTTTTTTTACAGCAGGAGTCACTGAAATATACAAGAATTTAACTCCAGTATGCACCATTTAATTTGCATCATATTGGCCAGACAGGAGGAATGATGACTAGCAGCCAAAACCAATCTGTGAATGTACTAAAACACAGCACAAGTACTGGGTTCCTGACCCAGTACACCTGTTGGGAGTGAGCGTATGTAGGTATTCTGTGAGTGAAGAGGACTGCTAATTAACTTTTGTATGAAGTGCCTGCAATTAATTCATCTTATCTCTCTACATTTAAAAGTGTTTTGAAATGTAAAGTCCACCCCAGCATCTCTTTTAATTAGTTTTAAGTAAATTTGTAATAATGGTCACTGCAAATACAAAGACAATGACACTAGTACCATGTCTGGTACAACTACTGTATTTCGATTTATCTTAAGCTGCTTTCACACATGAACTCCAGACTATGTCTGTGGAATCAGGTCCAGACTTTGTCCAGAGCTTCCCTTTCACACATGTAGCACACAACACGATAGTCAGTGTAAGATGCACTCTGACCTACTGGAAATTCTCTGTTTGGTTTATGCAGGGGGGGTCGCTGCCTGGTCGGAATATGCAGGAGGCCGTGTTTTCGTACATGGGCTCACTCTGGCTCACTCGGACATTTCACGGACTTCGTACTAAGCAACTGGCAGAATAAAGTGTGCTTAATTTCTGGGACAACTGACTCAGACATTCGTGTTCTCACACACAGCTCCTTCAGGTAATGTCTAGAGAATTTCAGGGTTCCAGTGCACGTCTGAAAAGGGCTTCATCTATACTCTGTCTAGTTTGCCTACAGTGTTACTCACAGTTAGTGCAGAGTGTTTATGACTTACCGAATGCAGTTTTTGGTATAAACCACATGCGTTGCAAACATAGCCTCCATTAGCGTTCTTCCTCCACAGTGACGTCTTGGTGGTCAAACAGTTCGCACAGAAGACTCCACTACCTCTGCGCCGCTGTAGAGAAGGAAGATAGTGAGACAAAAAAGAAAAGGGGGAAACAAGAAAGAAAATGTTGACTTAAGTTTTGATGCCTTTTAAATTTCCACACTACTCAAGAACAATGGATTGGTAGTAAGGTTAGGAAACAGAGAGAGAGAGAGAGAAACAGAGATGATGTGCTCGCACACATCACGACTAACAGGGAATCCTATAGAGAACGCTGCTCTCTGTTTTTCTCTGTATTGAACAAGCTTAATAAAACACCAAAATATACTTAAATGAAAAGAAAATGCTGTATATGAGCTGTGTGTTTTAAATGTGTGTGTGTGTGTGTGTGTGTGTGCCTCTGGGAGAGAACTTTGGCTCTTCTGCTGTCATTTTTTTCAAGTATCACTCAATAGATGTGGAAAGAGATTAGTTATGCTTTCACCTCATAGCATAAAGTGTTTTAGTGTTTATCTGAACTGCAGAAGGTACTTTACAGGTAAGTGTTTGACTTTTACTGTATTCATCTCACACACACACACTCCTCTGCAGTTCACGGAGCAGTGATGCATAGAAAAGTAGTGTGCGCAAGGAAGGATGGGGGGCTGTGAAAAGGCCAATTGTTGAGGCAACGTGCTCCATCATAGTAATGAGCCAATCACAACGTTTCTCCATCCCATTAAGTCTCTGGCCCCATTCACCACCTTTATGACCCTGAGAGGACAGCAGACGTCATCTTTCTTCTCCACGATTCTGTCTGCTTCTCTCTCTCTTCATGCCTATGCAAACATTTCTTTCTTTGTCTTTGTGTCTTCCTTATGCTTTTATCATTACTGCTCTCCTAGTTTTCTCTTCTCTTCTCTTCTTATACTTTCATGTTCTAATCTTCCAATCCGGTCATTTCCCTCTTCAGTTCTTTCATTTACCTTTTTCATCTCTTCTCCTTGTTTCACTAACATACAGTATAAGGTTACTCAAAAGAAAACCAGGATTTAATAATTTTTCTTAATTGGTCTGTGTTGTGGGTTTTGTTGTCTCTTTTTGTGTTATCACAGTAGCAACCAATACTGATCTGGTTTGTAAGGTTTTGTTAGCCATACTGTATATGCCTGTGGGAATGGCTCGCTAAAATCTATAACACACCTTCTGTGTGTGTCTGTCATCTCTCCCTCCCTCCTGTTCTCTCTCTGCTATCCCATTCTGTTTCTCCCTCTTCCTCTGTCACAGACTTTCCACTGGGACCTTCTCCTTTCAGCGCTGGCTTCTTGTTGTTTTATGGCCATGACAGTGCTGAGAGCTTAGAATTTTTTTTTTCTTCTTTTTGGGAGGGGGCTCACAAAACCCTGAGCTACAAGTTAAAATCATTATTTAAACTTTTCACAAAGGAGCAGCGCACTTCACTCAGGCTTTCTGTAGTCTCAGAGCTGCAGATGGAGCAGCTATCAGCTCTTCCACAAACATCTGTTTCGTGCTGAGAGCTAAAAGCAGAAGAGCCCGGTGGGCACAGCAGTCCTCAGTTTATTTTTACAGTCTAATATACTACAAGGATTATGGCACAGTTAACCAGTTTACATTACTCTGGGAACGCACAACACACGCAAACATGTCCATATCCAGTACGGCCTCAGTAATGCAGTGCAGATGCATTGAAGAACATCATTTTTTAGTTTAGTGTAGTTCTGGTAAGAATGAATCAGTATCGCAACTGCAAAAAAAGACAATGTTCAAATGAAATTTTACATAATGGTGTTAGAGAATTCACCCAACTTTTAAATGTAACAGCAAAATTAAACAAAATGTAAAGCATGAATCCAAAGTTCATCTGCTTTGTTGTTTCTCCCTCTAAAAGAGAAAAAATTGAAATACATGAAGTGAATATCAAAATAGGAACAGATTAAACATCTGTACTGGATACTGTTTAAAGATTGTACACCATATTCTGTCGCCAGTGAAAAGGGGTTTAATAGCTTTTTTGCTTCCTTGCTGTAATTTTATCTCATAAATAATGATTTATGATGACATACTTCATACTGTCTGGATCAGGCTGGAAAATCTAAGTTTTAGTTTAAAGTCTGTTTAAAAGCTTAATACAAAGGGACACCAGATGTGCTTATTTATACTGGAAAACCTGCCTCTCAGTCCCAAAACGTGTCCTGTTTTCAATAAGGTTGCATCTAATAAACACTTGTGCTAATATTCCAGTATTTATGGTGCATGCATTTTTATCCATCCGACTTCACACAGTGAAACACTTAGATAGCCAAATCCTCTCAGTGGCACACTGAGCCTGAGTGCACGTGTGTGTGTGTGTGTGTGTGTGTGTGTGTGTTGCACATGCCATACGGTCACCACATGTAGAGAGGCAAAGCCAGGTGATTGATTGATATACGCTTCTTGTGTGTGTGTGTGTGTGTGTGTCTACTGTTGCAAGCCAAACAGTGCATCTGTCATCAGAATTCAGTTCCCCCCTGAGCACCCAAATCACTCACATATGGCCTTCACAGCTGCCCCTCATCGCAACACACAGACTCACCTGAAAATTTTGATTTGCCGGCTAATGAAGACAAGCTAGAGTTGGATGAAACTACAGTCAAGGAAGGGTCCATGTGTGTTGGGCGTACCTTGACTGCTCCAAAACTATGCTACCAGGACAGCACAGTGTCAGTGCACGCATGTCTCTGACTGCTGTTGTTAATGCAGTCGAAGTAAACTATGTTCTGGACACTGGTGGTGAACAAGTGTACTACAGTGTGCTCGTAGCAGGCTGTGTGGCCCAGACACTGTTTCCTTTACCCATGAAGTGCTGTTGCCTCTGTGGAGATGTGAGTCCTGGTTGATATTATCGGTGATAATAGATTCAAAATTCGTGTGTCAGTTGCATGATCTCTTCCTTCAGCTGGGTGGCTTGACACATACTTCAACAACTTTAAGTGTGACTGCATCTCTTGGTGCCTTTGCTGTGCTTGGTGTATCAGTGTGTAGGTACAGCATGTGTGTATATTCTGACTGATTACTGATACCTGGCCTCTCCTACTCACCTCAGACTGCAGAGGATGGCTGCTGGTAATTAGAGCTCAGGGTCTTAATGACATCTATTTATCTGCAGACTACGATACCGTTTAAATAGCACCACAAACAACGACCTCTAGCACACACACAGACACACACAAATGCGTTCATTAGTGAGGAAATTAAACTTTTTATCAACTTCCTCCCAGTCAAGCCAAATCCAAGTCAACAAACAGAGTCTAACAGTGATGATTAGATACAAAGCTAAATTTCAATACTGTGAAGTGTATTGCTCCCTTTCCTGTTTGTGAACAGCAATTTCCCAATTTTAATTTTGGTTTGAGACTTTGAGTTTGTACTTAATGTCAACTTTCCGTTAATTAAGTTGAATGGATTACTATTCTTTCAAGTTAAACTAACATTATGGGCTGTTTTCTGTGATTTTTCCTGATTCTACTCATAAAACACACTGATAAATACAGTAATAACTTCATTCTTGAGAATTTAATTATCGTTCAACATCAAAACATATGGAGTTAACCACACAGTGGCTGAGCCCTTCAGCTGTGGCTGAGGTTCTCACAGCGCCAGAAATTTACAGATGTTAAACAAACTGCTTACACTGCACGGCCTTTTAGATCTTTACGGAAGAACTGGCCTGAAAGATAAGCATCCACTGTTTTGGCTTTTGTGGAAATACTGAGTCCTTCACATTCTCTCTCTTAATCTATGATGTCATAGCTGCCATCTGCAACCAATGTGCAGTGGCATCTTTATAGCAACGGTGTAGCTTTACTTTACACATGAGCTGCTGTAGTTCAATATTACATCCATTGAAAAAATACAGTTCAAGTTTATTCTCATTACCCAACCTCCACCACACACACACACACACACACACACACACACACCCATTACTGTAACAAATCTGGCTCATTACCTTGTGTGCCCTGTGTTAAAACGATGCAAGAAGCTGCATGGGGTGGGGGGGAGCTGGGGGGTTGTTTCATGTACTGGTAAAACAATAAAATACATTCCAGGAAGTCCAATTGGAGGAACAGATTTATGTGTTGAAAGCTTATAAGAAGGCAAAAACACAGCACAGTGGTTTGTAATACTCACAGACAGGATTTTACAGCTCTGGAAAGTGATCATGGTGGGAACCGCTTTATGTTTGGCTGTGATGATGTTGATGTAAACAATAAAAATAAGGTGTTCATGGTACAAAGTAATCCACCAGGAATGAACACCTGCATGTACAGGACTGGCCAACACAGCGCCTTGGCCGGATAATGTCACAGTGTGTTGCAGAAAATGTCTGCTGGTTGGCACTGCATCATCTTGGACACCCCCACCCCCACTTCCCCCATGAAAAGGGCTGCAATTATTCACTAGGATGAAAAGCCTGTGTGAGACCTAAGACAACTTTCCCCAATAATTTAACACTTTGGTGGAAGAACCACCATTTGCTGTGAATTTGGGGGAAAAAACAGCTACTTTTGCACAATCTCACCAAACAAAACATTCATATTTATGCTGAAATAAATCTAAATACAAAACTTTTAAATGCAAAGGTGCTGAAATCTGTGACTTGAGACAGACATGGGAGGAAGCTGGAGAGAGAAACGCATGAGAAAGAGAAGACGGGAAACCGAGCGTGGTGCCCTGCAGTCTAAAATACATTTTAAAAAGGAGGGCTTTCTAAACAAAATCTTTCAAAATGAAATTACATTTAATTCACTAATAGAGTAAGTCGGCCCTCCTTTTAACACACGGACACATACACACAAACAGAGATCCACACACTTACACTGATACATGCACTGAATTGCATTAAATCAGCTATTATTTAATCAAGAGAAGACTAGCTGGACGAATTAACTAAATTCCATACTGCCAAGTCCAATATCCTACACAATGGATCAGTCTCTTGCTCTTTCCGTAACACACACACACCCAGATGTAAAAGAGAGGAAGAAAGAGACCTGTGCACAAGGATACAGGGATAGTTTCAGATAAAG